TTAAGAGTAGATGCAGTATAAAATAAGAAGATACAGCCTTGATTGTGTTCTATGTGCTAGAATTATAAAATTGAGAGTCACGTTCCTAAATGTCTTTCTCCCTTTTATATTTTGAGATTATAGATTTTGACAAAGTTTCTCTACGATTCTGAACCATTTGATCTGCGGATCTTTTAGAAATTTATCGATAATAAATAATAGTTTCATATAGGAGCTTCTTAGTTGTCCTGTTGTTTGCGTACTTTGACTAAGACAACATTACTTGTGATCGAGATCTTAGTCTGAATTCGAGCCTGAATTTCATCGAATCATAGACAGTGAAATACCATCACCATGTAGCGCAGAAAAAATGAAATTAATCGCTATTAATGCTCTTATTGCACACTCATTATGCTCTTTATAAAGAAGCGCTAAATCTAAAAAAAATAGATTGTGTGCTGCCATCTATCAAAGTTTATAAATTAAAAGAATCTAGTACCACAGGACAGATGGTAGCACATGCTTATTTTAGATCACAAAATCTGTTTTATCGACTCGACGCAGCAGCCACGAGAACAATCATCAGATATACAATGACACCGGCAAGATATATGAATAAACCAAGCATTTTACGGGATTTCGTAGTTCGTGGCCTAAAATACCGACATAGTAAAAGATCATTAGCACAGACGAGATATATGAATAGACCAAACACCTTACGTGGCTCGTGACCTGAAATACCGACATAGTAAAAGAATCATTGGTTTTTTAGCGCACTCTACGTTTAAATAACGGTGAGTTGGGGAACTAGTGAATGCGCCAGCAATATGATTTTTTGTTCATTACAAAAACCGTGTTGTCAAACTTTCAATAGTTTGTAGTGACGTGTCTTTGTACAGAATGCGCTCACAATGAATTTACAGAGATTAACTAAATCTAAACGCACGCAACTTAAAACTAAGACGCACGCATCCCACGACGTCCCTGCGAGATCCCTCGTCGTCCCACGGGGCCCCGCTGGGGGGTCCAATATTTTAATTATCAACTAATTGTCCCTACAGTTCAGTTTAGATGTAAATCTTTTTTTTAATATTTTAAAAACAGTTTTTCTATTATAACTAATCAATAATTTAATAGTTTTTCACGAATATGTTACAATGTTAAACGTTAATATTTTATTAATTTTTTTATCGGCCGAAACATTAGTGAATTAAATTATTAGAAATATTAGATAATGTTTAAACAATTGGAATATTCAGAAATAATATTTAAAAATTCACTTCGAAAGTATAATCGATGTATACAATTTATAACGATCAATTTATAATGATCTTTTTTCGCTGCTCGACTTTCAGGTAAAATCAGTGATGAACAACAGGTGGAAGTCTTTGTCAATACTTCCAAAAACACTTTTTCTATAACAACAATCACGTTTGTACGGTAATTTTCGACGTATAATTCTATCGACGTGTATTAAATACTAATTTATAAGTCTGCAATATATAATACTAATTTGTGTAAAAAACAATTATATTACACTGAAAAATTTACAGATTTGTAAATTAAAAAGATTTGTGTAAAAAATAATTATATTACACTTTGAATTTACAAATTTGTAAATTAAAAATCATATCTAATTACATTGTTCATAAAGATATCATATTTCAGCCGATCTTTTCTAATATTTTTAAATAGATGTTAATGGTCAAATATGTACCAAATTTTCCATTAGTCGTTGTTTTAAATTGGCTGTTTATATTTCTTCATTGATAAAGCACCATTCAATTCAATAAGTAATTCTCGAAACAAAACTGGCTGGCAACACTGCTCGTACTTTTTTAATTTTAATTTTCGCTACTAGTAGTGCTGCGGTCGCAAAATCGGTACAACAGGATGCGACACGAAAATGGTAAGTTCGTAACTTATTACCATGGCCGAAAAAATGCATGATGATGCAATGTCTAATCGTTCTACCTCGTCTGTGACAATGACTTCCGTGAAAATAATCACGCGATGAAAGTTGTATTAGAAATATCTTCTATAAATAAATTCTGGAAATAAAGTCCTGTTACAAATTCAAATTCTAACCACTAATTCAAACCACTATGAATTTCTTGTCAGATTTTGTGATACCACTTGTTTCATACGTACATAGGTGACAGCACTTCTATGGAGAGATAGAGTGCGATAATAATAATAATAATAACGATTAGTTTCACCTATTGTCCAATAAATTAATGATTCAATGTCCATTAATTGAGTAAATTGTCATTTACGAAATATTAGTCGAATAAATTTATTACAATTTATTACAATCTTAATTAGATTCTAAGTCCTTTTGTGTGAAAGTTTGAGAATTCTATCAACTAATTTTAGCACTGGGAAATATCAAATACTTTTCGAATAATTTCAAATCATATTTTTTGTCCTTTCAGTGAGATAATTTTAATTTTCTATCCTTTCAGCAAATTTCAGCAAATTTTTCGTGATGATGAAAGTTTATGGAAACAGGTTTTACATTTTTCGTACGATTAAGAAGCCCCGAAAATTTAAAATGATTAAAGAACTTAATTTAGGTGAAAATCAGTTCTACCATAGTCAGATATTTTCCATCGCCGATGTGTTGATCCATTCGTTTACGTATATTTATCTTGCATAAGCATCTTTACGTATAATTCAAATTTTAACAATTTCATTGGGAAAGTGTGTGGCCACTCAAGTCACAGTCCAATGCGAATTTTTATGAAAATTAATGTTTTAAAAAGTAAAATTTAGAAAAGGGAAACCTAAATAGAAAAATTGTTACTATTCGTTGTTGTACAGAGCATTATTATAGTTATTCATCGTTATAAATTAATTATTATACAGAGTATTGCACTTTGGATATTTTTATATTCTTTTGCATGTCACATTCTTCCATCATCAAATTCCTTGTACAT